ATTCTTATTTTTAAAAATCTTAACAGAGACTTTAGTTTCTGAAATTGTTTATGCATTCTACTGAAGCAGTCTACTGAAATTATTCTATTTAATAAAATAAGTCTACAGGAGAGGCTAACATGGTGTTTGAGACAGAAGTTATCTTGTATACACTAAATGTCTGGTTCTTATTCCAAGGTCACCAACTTTGTAAATGACAGATTTTGTTCCCAGGTCCCTTTAATTTCTTTGATTTGCCCTTCCCTCACACCCAAGTTCTTAATGACTCCCAAACATCTTACACATGCTATTTAACTACTGTCCAGTTTTTCACTTTAACTCTGCTCTTCCTAACACTAAGATCAACTATTACTCCCACATCACTTCTTCCAGATGTCATTTCACTAAAGCACCAGTTTTTCAGTATTTCATGTATTGTTGACAATGTTCTTCAACCTGAACTTTAAAAACTACTCATTTTAGATGTGGAATGAAGTCAGAGCAAAGGTGGAATGGCTAGGACCTATGTAACTAACTTTATAGCCCAAAGATATCAAAATTGGAAGAAACGTAGGAAGTTCAGTCCAACCAGTTTCTGGTTTTACAATGACAATGAGTCACAGAGCTAACGTGGTGATATAGTCGCTTAACTTTTCCCAGATTTCCATTAAGAGTTTGGTCTTGGCCATTTTGGCCCTCAAACTCATTTGCTCTTTAGAAAGCTCATTTGGATTTTAACATTTTTTCTGTTTCCACTGTTCAATAACTTCTCTCAATAGAATAATTATAGAACATGGTTATCTACCATGTTAATTTTTAATAAATGGTTCCAATAATTCCATCCCACCTACTCTATGAAAGGGAATGAAGAGACCAAGAATCTCGGCTATTGTGAATAATTTTGGCTATCCTTCCTGTTATTTTTACTAGCCTTCTATAACCAAGTCAGTCTCACCTGCTTCCTCCACACCAAATTCTCCTTCCTGTCCACAAAAAAAAATAAAAAAAAGGAAAACCCCCTCCATTATAGCATGCATGTTCAGAAATTTTAGGTTTCACTTTTTCCTCAAAATTTTGATAAACTCCTAATTAAGTTACTAATTTATCAATTATCAGACTCTTGTTCACTAGTCTATCACTTCCTTATCAGTTCACATTACAGACTGGTTATAGCAATCTAACTGTGACGCTGCTACATGCACACCATAAAACAACCTTCAATGTCTCCCCACTGCCAATCAAATGAGGAAAACTCCTCACTCTCACCTTCTCTTATAAATTATGGTTCCTGACTTCCTTTCCAGGCTTTTCTCCTGCAATGGCTGTCACACATAGTCTGCCTCAATCACACTGACACATTCTTCCCTCAACAAGCCCTATCCTGTATATTATGTTCCTTCTACGTTGAATATTAACAGCCCCCATCCTCCTCCCTCAACACTCATCCCCAAAGCCACTATCTTTGTGAAGACTTTCCAGAGGTTTCTGTTTCCTTCAAACTATGTAGTGATTTGTTCACAACCATCTTGTGGGAATCATCTTCTATTATGTACGTTTGTATATATCTCACATGCACTCTACATCATAAATTATTAGAGGATAAAATCTATGGTTCTCAGCTTTCTTCTTCCCCATACCGCTTAGTACTCCTTGCACACAGCAAGCTCTCAAATAAGTTGCCAACTTGAAGATGTGCTTTCCCAGTTTATTTTTTATTTTTTTTTTTTTGAGACAGAGTCTCACTTTGTTGTCCAGGCTAGAGTGAGTGCCGTGGCGTCAGCCTAGCTCACAGCAACCTCAAACTCCTGGGCTTGAGTAATCCTTCTGCCTCAGCCTCCCGAGTAGCTGGGACTACAGGCATGCGCCACCATGCCCGGCTAATTTTTTATATATATATCAGTTGGCCAATTAATTTCTTTGTATTTATAGTAGAGACGGGGTCTCGCTCTTGCTCAGGCTGGTTTTGAACTCCTGACCTTGAGCAATCCGCCCGCCTCGGCCTCCCAAGAGCTAGGATTACAGGCGTGAGCCACAGAGCCCGGCCCCAGTTTATTTTTTTATAGGTTGGCCGCGAAGCCACAATTAGTCTCTCAAGTCATTTTACTAATAACATGTTTTATTTATGCCTTGGTATCTCAGATTAATAAAGCTAAATTCTTCTATTTTCTCTTGGTATAAAAAAACTGTCCTAATTTCAGGGGTTCTCTCCTATTGAAATCAGCTGTATGAAAGTTCTACTTTAATACACCTGGTTTCTATCTCAAGCCATTATCAGCTAAGCAAAACTCCCTTCCACTCCTTAAGCCATCCTAAAAACCAAAATTTATAAAAGCCACAAAATAAAACAAATATTCCCTTGGCTCAGAGTTAATTTGCTAGAGAACAGGAAAAATCTTATGGTAATTCTGAATTGCTGCCTAAGCTAACTAACAAACTAGTAAAAGTAACAACTGAACAGAAAAAGAATGAAACATGCTGACAGCACCCAAAAGAAATACAGACATAGAAAACCTTGTTAACATGTGGAACTTTTACAAATCTTATAGCAGATAACATTGTCAATAGCCACTACCGTATGCTACTGAGTCTACCATCACTTTCAAATTGGCAATTTTTTAAAATACAAGCAATTAGGTCCAAAAGGCTTCTGTAAGTGCCTCCTCTATGCCAAGCAGGGACTGGAAGCTAAGAACACACTGATGAATATAAAATCTTGTCTTTATAAATAATCCCAGTAAAAGTATTCTCCACTGTAGTACACACTCTCTGCCCCTTCACCAGCTATCTCCATCAGCCACGATTTTTTAAAGATCTGCCATTATATTAGAAAAACAGGTAAGTCAAAGAAGTTTTTTCTTAAAAGAAGGGGAAAACATATTTCCTGGCCCACCATTCTGATGGGATGAAAAAGGAAGGCTGGTAGGAAAGAGGAATTTCTTTCCTTTATATTCCCTTTTGAAAAATCACCAATCTAGCATGCTTGCCTTTCAAAGCCCACCTAAAATACAATGTGGAACAAATACGTTAACAATTAGTAGGCCTCTTATAAAAGTGGCACTCACAGAAAGGAAACTATCAGATATTTCCTATTTTATTTGTAGAAACAAGTCTTTGCAGCATTAAAACATTTAAAAACACTCTAGGATGTAATGCTGGTATTTAAATTTTTAAAACTCATATTACTATTCAAAAGATTCATGCAATGACAAAGCTAAAAATGTTCTCTCTCACTAGTAAGGGTGAATCACACAGCCACCTACCTACCCCACCCAACAGTCACGCTAAGACTGGACAGTTCAAAACCTGGAAAGCTTGCCTTATCTACTTCACACCACAAATGAATTCACTTCAACACATTAAGCCTTAAGTTCAGCTACGCAATAGCAAGGAAATGTTATTAAGTACTGAAATTTACCAGGACATTTAACTGTGCCCTTTTCACGTTTACCAAACTCCCCTCCTATCCCGTTTTTAATAAGGAAAGCTCAACAGATACTCTTGCTTGAAAAATGAAGCATTTGTTCAGATTCTCCAAGTAAATTTTCATTACTAGCTTTGAAAGGAAAACCTACTACAGTTATCGAAAAGGGTGCCTGTACCTATTTTCAACTACTTGAACCCTACGAACACATTTAAAAGGTTCACAGATCTCAGCATGCAGTCTCCCAGCACAAGAAGCTTAAAAATGATTTTCAGTCCTGTACAAACCTACTCGGATGTTTCAAAGTTACATTGTGTGGCAGCAACCCAGCATCTGGGGAAAAAAGATCTACTCACCCTTGGAAAAGCGGCTTGAGTCTCAATAACTCAGGTAACATACTAAAGGAAGCCAGAGCCAGGGCTCACCTCCTCGAACCCTCCACATCGGCAGACAATCAGGCAGGCCCTGGCTCACGTTTCTTTCCGAGCCCACGGAATTCTCAAAGGCATCGCACAAAAGCGCCCCGCGCCTGCCGCCCCTTCTCCTCCCCACCGAGGCCAGCGCGGACTCACCAGGACCGTGGTGCAGATGGACCTCAGCTCGGACTCCACTTTCTCCCGATAGTCCTTAATCAGCTGCAGCTTCTTGTCGGAGGTGTCGGTTTTCTGCTCGATGCTCGAGATGACCCTCCAGGCGGACCTGCGGCCCCCGACCACGTTCTTGTAGGCCACCGAGAGCAGGTTGCGCTCCTCGTTGGACAGCTCGGCGCCCTGCTCGGTCACCGCCTTCATGCAGGTGGCCATGTCGTCGTAGCGCTCGGCCTGCTCGGCCAGCTTGGCCTTCTGGATCAGCTCCGTCTTCTCCATGGCGGGCGGGCGGCGCGGGGCCGGGGCCGAGGACGAGGAGAGCGAGGCGAGCGCCGACCCGGATCGGGAGGAGTCCTCCTCGAGAGCTGCCGAGGGGCGGGGCGGCGCAGGCGAGAACAAAAAGGAGGGAGGGGAGCGCCGTCAGACAATGCGGCCCGCCGCCCGCTTTTGTCTCCCGCACACGCGGCCCGGTTGAATTTCCCTCGCCCCCGCCCCCGCCCCTGCCGGGCGCCCCGAGCGGCCGAGGGCCCCGCGGCGCGAGGAGGCGGGGGCGGCGCGGAGGCCCCGCGCACTGGGAAGCCCGAGCCAGGGCCGCGCCCGCCGCCCCCGCCCGGCCGGCCCAAGATGGAAGCGGCCGTTGGCCTCGCACCTTCCCGCCCGAGCCGTCCCTGAGGAGAGAGGCGTCGGCAGCCGGCCGCGCCCGAGGGCTACGCCTCCGCCCAGCCCCTAAGCCCAGCGCGGCCGGAGGGGCCCGCGGGCCGACCCTGGCGCTCACCTTCACGTCTCCGCGGCCGCGACGCGAGTCCCACCACTTTGATCTGCTTTTGGCTTTAGCCGAGGACCCTCCCGTCTCAGCCTACCCCGGAGCCGAGGGGCGGGGCGCCGCCCAATGACGCGCCGAGCTGTCCCCAAGAGTCCCGCCCCCCGCCCCGCCGTTGGCCAGTGAGGACAGAGCGCGCGGAAGGGGGCGAAAGGGGTGGGGCGCGAGGGGAAGCGGAGGCTAGGAGGGTGGGTCGGCTTGGGTAAGTTCGGTTGGCCGGCAGGCTGCGGCTTCGGCCACGGGGTTTCCTCCAATTAGATCCAGGGTAAAAGGACGTCACTGTTGCCATGGCGATGCTGTTACCAACTCCCCTCATCCTCCCCGCCACCCCAGCACTTCTGGGTGCGGCACGAGACCGAGAGGCGCGCACGACCTCCGTGGCGGTGGCCGAGTCTCCCGCCGCAGCCGCCGCCGCAGATGGTGCGTCGCATCTTGCTGGCCCCTGCAGCTGCGGCTCTGCTCGGCCTGGCTGAGGCTGGACTTCTGAGGGTGACATAATCGGCTGTTTTGTTGCACAAACGCCTTCCTTTCCTCCACCTTCCTATTCGTGACAAAGGTTTGGAGCTCAAGACACTAATCCCAGACTTTAACGACTTTGCGATTAGGGCTGCGAATTAGAAATAATTCCATCCCCATTAAAGAGGAATTAGTTCCTGGAGAAAGTAAGTGGCTTCGGTATGGCCTTTACAGGATAAATTCAAGTTTTCAGATGGGCACCTAAAACCAAAAATTTCCTTGGAAAAAAGGTAGATAACCAGAAGATCCAGGCAAGTCTCTGTGGCAGTGCCAGGTATTGTGATTTTCTTTAGAATGGGAAATGGCATTAATCACAATTTGGAGGAAAACCCCCATAACTACGCCTGTCCCCTACACACAAAAACCTGATAACACCCCCCCCAAAAAAGCAATTTTTATTGTTTCTTTCCAGGTTATGCACCTAAATACATAATTTTTCACACCCATGTCTTATGTATACACGCTTTTTGTTTGCTGATACTATTTTTGAGAGGACACTTGGAAATCTAAAACTCTCTCCCTGGATGTTAATTTCTGATTTTCACCTCAGGAAGTGAGAAAGATTGCCCCAGATGCCTTGTATTCAGGGTCATCCTAGCTTTTCCCTTTCTCTTTAAACTACTCCCTGCTCTCCTGGCACTAACCCCCCTCTCCCGTCCCCCAACTCCAAGTAAGGTGGCTGTCCTGCTGGATGGCCTTTGTGCCATCTTAGGATGAGAGTTACCATCTGGGCTCACACTGCTATGATCCCAATTCCAGCACATCCAAAGGAGAAAGGATCACATAATAGAAAAGCAAAGAATGCCACAGGCAAGAAACAATTTCCAATTCTAAGCAGAGACTGGAGCAGATCTGGAGACTCTCTAGAATGGAAGATCTGAGAGAGCAAACAGATTGGGGGGAGAAGGTGCAGGATTTCCAGAAAACAAGGCTCCCTCCAGGTGCCCTCCCTGTCCTGACTTGTAAAGGTTGCTTTGTGCTTTGACAGACAGGAGAGGCCTGGATTGGAAAGGGCCTGTGTCTTAATGCAGAAACGCCTTACTATGTTCCAGCATTCTAATGGAGGGCCCTGCTGTTATTTCTGGAACCCCTGGGGCCAGGCTGTAGACACACAAGTGTTTATGGCCATGTGGGCTGGGGTGGAGCCAGACACCGAGAAATCCCAGTGGAAAGAATTTGCATGTGGAAGGTCAGATAAAACGCTTTCTGTATGACCAGTGGATTTCAAGCCTACCGAAATTAGAGTCGGCCCAGGCCAGGGGAGAAAACAGAGGATGTGGATGGGAGATGGAGACCCTTGAGAGGAGATTGTCAGGGGATTGAACCTCTGCGGTAGGGAGAGAGGGTCTATCCAGAACGGGCAAGCATGTGAAATTCTTTGTCAGAAGGTCTGGGCTGTGCTGCCATCTCCCCTGGTGACCTTAGGCAGGTTTTTGCTGCTTTCTATACCTCAGTCTCTAAAATTTCTGCTTTCATTCAACCAAATATTTATTGAACATAATTATTTATTATTGAATATGGGTATGGTCATCAGGAATCATGGGTGAAAACTGCTTTGAACCAACAATGCATTATGAAATTGCATTTTGTGAAGGTCCAGAGGGACCCTGTGCACATCTAAAGACTTCTGTGCCTGAAAGAACTCAGGTCGGAGAAAAATAAAGCTCTGGAAACTTGAAGTCCCTAGACACACAAAAAATTACATTTATTGAGTGATTACATGTGTCAAGCACTGTTTTTTGCAAGGATCTACTCATTCAATCTGTTTAACACCAACCTCAAAGTAGGTACTATAATGACCATCATGTCCATTTCACAGACAAGAAAATTGAGGCACAGGTTAGTCAAGTATTACATATAGGGTCACACAGCTAGTTAGTGGCAGAGCCTGGATATAGACTGCTGCAGTCTGGGTGCCGAAGCCTATCCTTTACCTACTGCTGTGGCTGCCCCAGCAAGTCTCCCCAGATCTCTGCTAGGTGCTATAGGAATTCTAGGAAGGATCAGACTAGTCTGTCCTTTGGGGGTTGCATCCTAGTGAATATGAAACCTGATAGGTATCATATCCAACATGCTGGGAAGAATTCCAGGGAGCAGACAGCTAGCAGCAAAGACAGTACTGAGAAGTCCTTACCTTATTTATTTAAAGTTCTTGTAATTTTTTCTAGATTACCTGGTATGAAGAAGCTGCTGGAACAAGAGGGAGCACACTGAACTTGGAGCCAGAAGATCCTAAGTCGCAGCCTTGCTATTGATTTGTGATTTTACCTTGAATACTCTGATCCTCTCTGAACCTCAGTTTTCTTTACATGTAACCTATAAAAATAATCCCTATCTCAAAGAGCTGTCATGGAGATTAAATGGACTAACACATAGGAAGATGCTGAGCGTATAGCAAGTGTTCAGTAAGTAGCAGGTTTTTTTCCCCTTCTGTACCTCTGCTTCGGGGTGAAGCATGGGGGAAGGGGAATCCTGTCTTTCTGCAAGGAGCCTTAGAGCCTTATAAAATGTTACTGGATGCTTATCTCTGGAATCATTGCTGTAATTAGTGGAGTTAATGGTTTGCAAAAGGGCTGTATTCAGTGCACATTTCAGAATGAATGATTCCTCCTGGTTGAGTTTTGTTGCGGTGGTTTATTTGCCCAGAGCAGCGGATCATCAGCAAGAAAGTTCTTCCTCTCCTCCCACATGGCAGCAATTCTACTGACAAACATTTGAGTGGGAATTTCCACCCAAATTTCCCACATAAGTATTATCAGTGCTTCTGCGCAGTGGGCACTTAAAGAGTTGCCCACACTCTGCACCCCACCTGGAGGTGCCGAATGACATCCTGCAGAGTCAGGACAGGTGGGGAAATCAAGAAGGCTGGTCAGCAAAGTCTCTCTGCATATTCCCTGGCTTTGGAATTTGACTCACTTCGTTCAGTGCGATGGTTAATTTTATGTGTCAGCTTGGCTGGGTCACAGTGCCCAGATATTTGATCAAACATTATTCTGGGTATTTCTGTGAGGGCATTTTTGGATGAGATTAACATTTCAATCGGTGGACTTGCAGTAAGCAGGTTGCCCGCCCTAGGGTGGGTGGGCCTTACCCCTGTCAGTCAAAGGCCTGAATAGAGCAAAAAGACCAGCCTCCTCTGAGCAAGAGAAAATTCTTCAGCAGACTGCCTTTGGACTTCATCTGCAACATTGATCCTTCCTGGTTCTGCAGCAGACAGCCTTCAGACTCGGAATGGAACATGAGCTCCCCTGGGTCCTTGGCCTGCTGGCCTGTAGATTTTGGACTTGCCAGCCTCCGTGACTATGTGAGCCAATTCCTTCTCTCTCTCCCTCTCTTTCTCTTCCTCTCTCTCTCTCTCCTCCCCCTCCACCACCACCCCCCAGTCCCTACACACACACACACACACACACACACACACACACACAAGTGCACACACACACACATTCTATTCATTCCATTTCTTTGGAAAAACCCTAATACATTCAGTCAATACTGAAATATTCAGTCAATACTGAAAGTATTCAACACTTTTTCTTTCCTCAACAAATGACAGGAGTGTCTTCTAATAATAGTTTTAAATGTGTGTCCGTGACATACCAGTCTCTCCTGTGCCCCTTGCCAGACCATGGGCTTCTTGAGGTTGAGGACTTTCTGTCTTGATCTTGTATCCCGAGTGCCCTCCCAGCAGCTTGGTAAAGTTAGGTGCGTAATCCCTGCTGTGTAGCTGACTAAAGGGATGCTCAGAGAGGTTAAATTACCTACCCAAATTGGTGAGCTCCAGACTTAAGATTCAAAAACAGGTCTGTCTGATTTCAACAAACAAGACTCTGTGCTCCTTGCGATGGAAGATAGAGGCTCCAATGTTCGCTGGCCGGGGAACAATGTTTAGTTATTTGAGGCTGGTAGGTGGCTAAGTATATATCTATTGGTGAGTCAGCGGCTGATTTTATTTTCACGTGGAAGGCTCTGGTTTTATACTCAACATATCTGCAGTGCGAGTGGTGCCTCTGTGTCCCTTGCCTGTTCCCTTTAATTGTTGACATGTTTCTCTCCCTTTGTCTCCCACCTCCACCATCAGACTGTGACCTTCCAGTGGGCAAAGTTACATCTTATCTCTGTCCTGTGAAGGTTTATTCTGAGAGTGGATCCAGGCCATCATTTCCAGTCACACTGGCTGTTGGCACCATTTGCTTACTACGTGCCCAACCATGTACGGAGTCACTAGAATAGTAGTGAACCCACAAAAGTAAAGCACACAGAGCACAGCTGTGTCCTCAGCAGATATCCCATAAAGACAGGATTGTATCTGAAGAGCACATGCAGAATCTTGAAGCTGGCACAGAAGGTCCCCAAGCCCTAACTCAGATTTCCTGTTAATTCACTCAATAAAATATTTAAGGGTCCACCAAGCGCCAGACACTGTCCTCAGGGCTGGGGTTTCCAGAATGACTGAGACACAGTCTGTGCCTGCAAGAAACTTGACGGAAAGCACAAAGGTGGGAGCCTAACCTGGAGGTCACTGAGGGCAGGGAAGGTCCCCTTTCTTTTCAGTTCTGAAATGTTCAGTCACCTGGTTTCCCAGCCTACCGTGGCCCAGAAGTGGCTACTTAGAAGGTGGGAGCAGAAGGACTCCTGAGGGTCTCTTGGCAGAGGACTCTGAGCAGAGAGGAGCCAGGGCTCTGGGGCCAGCCCGGGTCTGCTCCCTGGGCTGCCCTGGGATCTAGTCCACTTCCACGGTCTATGCGAGGCAATCAGTTGACAGGGCAGGGAGAGCGAACCCACAGAGAGCATGTGAAGAAGCTGAAGAGGCCAGAGCCAGTTGTGTAGGGACACTCAGCCCGTACGTCTCAGGCAGGACCTAGGTACGTAGCCATGAGCCTTAATCATCACAAAAGAAATCTTCCTTGTGTTCTTATTTTTTTTTGTTGAAGAAGTCAGACACATACCTACTACTTTTTTTTTTAACATCCAGAATGTTAGGATTTTTTAAGTTTTGGTACATAACCATCTCCCCACTTATGACTCATGCCCAGACAATTTAGGATAGTTGAATGGATGAATGAACAAAACACAGCTAGAGAACAATGCACACAGGAGGTGATTGTGTGCCTCTCACAGAAAGTGAGATGGGAGTTGGAAGAAGGGAGACGTGAGTGTGGGCTGCAGCGATTGCAGAGATTTGGGGCCTCAGAAGGCTACAGGGCGGAAGGAACCTCTATGGGAAGACAGGAGAGCCACTAGGACATGACAGTCTGCTTGCTCTTCCACCCTTCCTGCTGCCCCAGTGGAGAGGCCTCTGGGAAGGGGAGGAAGCCACAGCTGCTCCTCCCTGTGCTGGAGTTGCGTTTGGACGGGGCTGAACCCCAAGAAGGTGGCTTTGGACAAAACATGGGAAGACAAGCACCCAGAAGAGCTAGGCAGCTGGAACAGAGGAGGAGCCCCTTCGACTGCTCCAGCTCCAGTGCTCAACCGCTCTGCGCATGGGCACTGGAACAAGCCGGGCCATGCTGGGGAGACTGGCTGTGGTACTTGCTGGCCCCCTTTTTTTTGGGGGGGCAGCTTTGTGGAAAATGCAAGTCTGTCCTTCACATTTTTTTGTCACTTAAAACCCTTCTCCCTTATTCAGCTACAACTCAGCACGGTGATTGCACTCAGGAGCCAGGTGCCCTGGATTCCAATCATGGCTCCACTGCTCACTAGATATGTGATCTTGGGCAGGTTACCTGGCCGCCCTGTGCCTCCACTTCCCCATTTGTAAAATGGGGATGATGACAGTAATCCCTAGCCCACCAGGTTGTTGTGAAGACTCAGTGAGGCAGCGCTGGTGACGACCCCACCCCCATGCTTTGGTCTCTTCTGGGCTTTGCCCCTGCAGTCCCCTCTTTCCTCACATCTTCACCTGGCTACCTGCTCCTCTCTCCAGTCTCAGCAGAAATGACACACCCTTCCACAGGGTGTCCTTGGGCTCCTCGCCCCTCTGGGCTAGGTGAGCACCCGCTGTCCTGTGCTCCCCAAGCAGGCAGCATACTTGATGTCACTTCTCCCAGTCGCTTGTGCACGACTCGTCTGCACAGCCCCAGTTCCTAGCAGGTGCTTGGCAGACACATGGGGGGGGGGCAAGAAAGGGATGACCGAGTGGGTGAGTTAACAAAGGATGGCAGGAGGAGTCACAGGCCAGCACCCAGTGCCTAGAAGACAGGGTGAGCTGGGGCTGCTGGTCAGGACAGCTTCAGGCTCTGGCCAGGGTCCAGCCCACAGCTGGAGGCCCCCGTGACTCTAGCTGGGAGAGGCTGGAAGATCCAGGCAGCCCCTGACCGCATGCCTTCCCCTCAGTCACGTCCAGTTCTGTAAACAAACTCCCAACTGCACCAGAAGGCCTGGCGATTCAGAGAACCCAGTGAAGAAATCCTTTGCAGAGGAAAGAACACTTCTGAATGTGAACAAATCTCCCCGATTTATTTAGACAATTTCTTTCTGGATTCCTTAAACCAGGGTACCCAGTTAAGAAATTTGGGGCCTCATACATCTAAACAAATACATAAAGCTTGTTCCATCAAAAGCAGCCCTCCACTCTGGGAGGCCGAGGCAGGCAAATGCTCAAGGTCAGGAGTTCAAAACCAGCCTGAGCAAGAGCGAGACCCGTCTCTACTATAATAGAAGAAATTAATGGCCACTAATATATATAAAAATTATTCGAGCATGTGGCACATGCCTGTATCCCAGCATTCGGGAGCTGAGGCAGGAGGATTGCTTGACCCAGAGTTTGAGGTTGCTGTGAGACTAGGCTGACCCATGGCACCACCTAGGCAAAAAGTGAGACCTTTTAAAAAAAAAAAAAAAAGCAGCTCCTGGAAACAAGGAGTTGTCACCACCCTGCTCAGCTAGTATATGTCAGGAGGTGCCTCTCCCTGGGACAGCAATTGCCATAATCAATGTTAATGAGCAAACGATCCCAGCCAGGCTCCCTGCTCATGGTTCTGAAAGTCAGGGATGCGGCCAGCCAGACTGACAGAGCCTGCCTCACTCTGAAGTATCGTACAGCTGACAATTGCTGGAATGTGTTCAGAGTCAGTAGCAGCAGCTGCTACCATGTCGCACAAGCTCAATAGTGAGGAGTAGGCAGCAACTTGTCGCTTGTTGAGAGGCTACAGCCAGATCTAGAACGCAGACCAGATAAGAGAGAAAACCAATAAAAATAGCTCATCAGGCCAAAGCAGGCAGTCTTGGGTCCTTGACTAAAAGTTGTGGCTGCCATATGGGCATCTCCTGCAAGAGCTGGGGATCAGAATGTTTATAGCAGCACAATTCATAATTGCAAGGCTGTGGAATAGTCCAGTGCCATCACCCAAGAATGGATTAATAAATGTGGTATAATGTATACCATGGAGTACTATTCAGCTCTAAGAAACAATGGTGATATAGCACATCTTATATTTTCCTGGTTAGAGCTGAACCACTACTACTAAGTGAAGTATCCCAAGAATGGAAAACAAGCACCAATATATTCTCCAGCAAACTGTATTAACTGAGCAGCACCTAAGTGGACACATAGGAACTACAGTAATAGGGTTTGGCGGGGAAGGGAGGGGGGCAGGGGCGGGTAATACATACATAA